AGGGCACGAAGCTCCCGTTCCACCACATCCCAAAGATGCTCTATTGGGTTGACATCTGGTGACTGTGGGGGCCATTTTAGTACAGTGAACTCATTGTCATGTTCAAGTCCTGATTGCCTTGACCAGGACCACACCCCTAAATGCATTGAAGCAACTGCCATGTGACTGGTTGATTAGATAATTGCATTAATGAGAAATTCAACAGGTGTTCCTAATAATCCTTTAGGTGAGTGTATGTGTAATTTCGCGGTGGTATTGAAGTGTTTAATAATCACAGTTCATTTAATGCAGACTATTTGCTTTCACATTTGGGCTCACCTTTCTTGGGGGAAAAGTTTGTAAGCAGTTGCTTTCCCTAATTTGTTGGTTTTTCCCCGCCTCTTTTCTTTTTTGAAACCCGGATTTAGCTTTCTTTGGCATCCTCTTCCACCACGGATTTAGCTGTTTCATCAGAATGACTGCTAAATTAAATGCGCCTAGTTAAAAAGCCCGGTGAAGACTAAACCATTGCAAGGGGTGAGGGTGCTTGTCCTCAGGCACTGTAAGCTAGGACACAATTCAATCCGTCAACCGATTTATTTTTCCACAGAAATTACATTTACATTAGTTAGCAACATTTATTATGATCTTTGAATAATATTAATATATTTAAAGGAAAATAAAATTCCAGATTCCTTAGGGGCCCTCCCCCCACATGGAGCCCTGGTAACTCAGTCCCCTTTCCCCCCCCCCACTACAACGCCACTGCTTGCAGGTAATGCTTATTACTCTCCTAATAACACTAGAACCGCCTTTTCCCACGCCAACGAACAAGCAAGAGCTACTTCGGTGTATGCAGCCCTTTTGTTGTTAGCTGCTGTTATTAACACTAATAACACTCAAAAAACCGTAATGTTCGTAACAGAGTGGCAGTTCTGTCCTGAAACCGTAAAACTGGAATTTTTTAAACGTCGTCTGCATTTTATAAAATGTTGAATACATAGAAGTCGTTTATTGATGATTTCATGTTGGTCAAAGTTTCCGCTTTTTAACAACTGTATACGGTTATTTTTTGTTTCAATTGTATGTGAAACAAAAAATGTACGTGTTCATGGTTGCAAACTCAGCCTCTCACGCAAGAAATCTTACGGCAAATCTATATTCTATTCTGAACTTAAAATTAGCTGCATCAAAAACGTTACGGCAGTTTGCAAACCCTACAGACTATTTACAAGGTAATAAAACTTGCATGTTAATGTGTGTGCAGAACAGAACAGAAAATCTCACTAAATGCAGCTGACCAAAATTGGCAACCCTGCATTTTATTTTAAATGAGAAGTAAAATGCAGTTTTCGACTGAAGTGCTAGCTTATCATTCCTTTGCTTTGTTACTCCGACAAATACAAAACGAACTAGAAACTGCAGGCAGTTACGAACGGGTCCAAAGCGTAGGATATGATCGGACTGGTAGGACAGTAGGGGAATAACGGCAGAGAACCGGCGGTCAGGGTAGTAGAAAGTCAGACAGAATTAGACTACCATAACAGGATGGAGGTTGAGCGTAGGTCTAATGGGATAGGAGATGCAGGACAGAGCAGGACTGGTTTCAGTGAGATGGTCTGAGCAGTACGCAGAAATTCGGATGGAGATGCTTTTAGTGCAGGCGTAACAGGTCAGTCGATGTCGGAGAGCACGCTGTGCACATCAGGATACCTGAAATACCCACCTAAGCTGGCGACCCTCTGATTACAGGCACACAGGCTTAGCCCACTGAGTCACTCGCTGCTGTTGGTAAGATGGGTGAGATCGGTGGACACCTTCCTACCTGATCTGGTAACTCAGTTTAGCTCAATTAGCCTAGGTGGGTCTTAGACATATATGGATAGTGGATATAGCGCTCCCGTTTGACCGATCGACACGAAATTTGGAGGGTCTCTCTGTGGTACAGCTTTTCATCAGAGATAGATATTTGGAAATGATTGGCTGAAGCATGCCTGAGGTATTACTGTCTGATTGAAATGGACGTGGCACCAGTACAGTCAGGGTGTGGCTGGTGGCCATACCTTACCAAAAGTTTCATTTTGTTCTCTAAATCTTTAAAAGGACTGTCTCCTGATTTGAAGGACAACAGATTTATGTAGGTTTGAGGAAAATCCTAGGAGGTTAATGAAAAAAGCTGTTTTCAGACAAATATAAATCATGCAAAGATGCAGAACCAAGTGCTATATGTTACTGGATTTGGCACGACATAGTGAATTTGACTGGCAATAAAATTTAAGTGTAGGACAAGTGGGACAGGAGATATCGACCAAAACGTTTTGTAGGGCGCAACGGCGCCCCCCTCTGACTGACTGGGATGGGTCGGAGGGGCTGAGTAGTGGGTAGCAATAGGCATCTTACTGCCAAATTTGGTCAGCCTAGGACTTACGGTTTAGGCTGGGCATTCAGTTTTAGGGAAGAAAAATAATTATAATTGAACCCTCTGGAGGAGTGCCTGAGCCCGTCTGAATGGCTGGTTTAATAATAATAGAAGCTTCATTGACCTTCATGGGGAAAGCGCCTTCACGTTTCCCCAGCTTGCTTTACAGAGAGTATGCCGTGCACATTGGGCTGCCTAGCTCAAATACCCACCGAAGCTGGGTTCGAACCAGCGACCCTCTGATTACAAGCACACAAGTTTAGCCCACTGAGCCACCCGCTGCTGTTGGTAAGAGGGGTAAGAACGGTGGACACCTTCCTACCTGATCTGGTAACTCATTTTAGCTCAATTAGCCTAGGTGGGTCTTAGATATATATTGATAGTGGCTATAGTGCTCCCGTTTGACCGATCGACGCAAAATTTGGAGAGTCTCTCTGTGGTACAGCCGTACATTATTGAGAGAAATTTGGTAATGATTGGCTGAAGCATGCCTGAGATATAGCTGTCTGATTGAAATGGACGTGTCACCAGTACAGTCAGGGTGTGGCTGGTGGCCATAACTTACCAAAAGTTAAAAAAAAAAAATTTTAAATTCTTTAAAAGGACTGTCTCCTTATTTCAATGACAGCAGATATATGTAGGTTATATGTAAATCCTAGGAGGTGAATGACCTGTTTTCAGAGAAATATAAATCATGCAAAAACGCAAAGATGTAGAACCAAGTTTTATATGCAGTTGGATTCTTCAGGACATACTGAATTGGACTGCCAATAAATTTCAACTGTAGGCTTGGCTGTTCTGGAGAAATAGGCAAAAATGCTGATGGGGGCGCTACCGCGCCCCCATTAGGCCTACTGAGGTATCCTTTACAAGGAGGGCTGAGGGTCAGAGGACAAATATGCCATCAAAATTTGGTTTGGATTGGTCATCGATAAGCCTGTCAAATGGCTGCTTGAATTTGATTGGCTGATTGCGGCCACTCTTTTAGGACTTATGATTGCCATTGTAGGTGACTGACCTCAGGCTGGGACCTAGAACATATGTGCCAAATTTTAGTTGGATTCGCCAAGGTAGTCAGGAGATATTGGCAGTTTTTAGTTGTAGCGCCCCCTATGGACGAAATGCGGCCCACCTTGGACCATGTCCCCAGAATGGTGTCGGGAGTTAGGATTTCAAATTTGGTCGAGGTAGGCCAAGGCACGGCCAAGTTATAACAGTCAGACCAAAACAGGCCAAATTTGGGCATTGTTTGTGCGTTGCTAATGGATGTAGGATACACAAATGTCTGAATTTTTTAAATAATTCTTGATCAGCTTAGAGTTCTAATTCGATTGATACCTCATTTGTCTGATTTGGTAGGACAAGCTTGGACTTTAAGGCTTAATTAGTATTTGCAAATTATGCAAAATTACCGAAAAATCTACCCAGGTGTAGTTTCATAGTCCAAATGGCAAGTTGTATCTGGGGAAAAAAGAATTTTGACTGTAGGACCAACGGGTCAGGAGATATCGACCAAAACACTTAGCTACAGCGCCCCCATCTGACTGACAGGGACGGGTCGGAGGGCCTGAGTAGTGGGTAGGAATTGACGTCTTGCTGCCAAATTTGGTAAGCCTAGGTCTTACGGTTTAGGCTGGTCATTCAGTTTTAGGGAAGAAAAAAAAAGAAGAAAATCCTAACAAAAACAATAAGGTTCCATAGCACTACGTGCTTTGGACCCTTAATGAATAAACATTATATTGTTCTGTCATAAAATACTACCTATCGAGACGTGCTATCGAGCCTTTCTGCGCATGTGCAGTTCCACCGTCTTGGGATTAGGGTTAGGTTTTAGGGGTTAGGGTTAAGGTAAGGGTTTTAGGGGTTTTGGGGGGTTAGGGTTAGGGCTATTGATTAGCACTACGGTAGCATTTTTCGACAAGGCAGCATATATCGACAGAACAATATGCGTCTCTTTCTGTATGTTTTCTAAATAACACCGCGTGCCCATACCCAACTGTAATAGCGATTAAAGCGATCTATTCTTTTAGTATTTATGTTAAAGCAAGACTTTTATTTTATTACTGTTGTGGGATTAATCTTTGGAAACACTTAAATTTAATAAGCATAGAAACATATGACATAAACACGACTGTATTGTGGGTTTTACGGCTTTTTTGGAGGTCACCGACTCCGCTGCTGTGAGAATTACTAACTGTCTCGTTTTGATGGGTTAGCGGTATACTAATGCTATTGCCTATTAACAAAAACCAAAGGTATGATACGCTGAAGTACAGTATATTGCAGCTGGTGTTTAAAAGGAGCTCGCCGGTTCTATTGATGATAGGACCTTTCTGAAACAGTCTCGGACCATGAAATAGGAAGACAATTCACAAATAGCTCAGTAGCGAAATCAGTATTTTTCCGCACCGCAAATGTAACATTTTCCTTGGGTTTCACGTCTTTGCTGTTTGTGGGCCTGTACGACTTCTTGGGCCACTTCTGATTGGTGAGCATGACTGGCATGTGAAAAGCACGGCGCTTGTGATTAGTGAGAATGACTGTCACACAGGGAGCACGGCATGAAACTATTCTCACAGTAGTTCTTAACACTGAGTCCGACGTATAATGTATATCCTAAATCGCGATTTTTGCGACTTGCTAATCGCGTTGTTTCAAATTTGGATTTGAAATCAATAAATCGTCCAGCCCTAGTTCAAACCCCTTTTCCGAGCTGGCCCTGATTTCACAGTGTGATATTGGACAGGCTTCAGATAGCCACGATGAATGGTGCAATATGAAGCCCTGTGCAGTTACAGCAGTGTCCCATGACAATCCTTTTGGGACGCCAGGCTGATCCTTCTGCTTATAATTTGCACCCGGGGAGGCACCCTGACCTGCTGGTTAAACCTGGTTTGGTGATTGGTGTGGGGCTCTGGTGAAATCCCTCAGGAATCTGAAGTGGACACAGGCCAGGCAATGCCCTGTTATTTCTGCTTCTGCTGTGTGTAAAACCCCTCTGGATTGTATAAGTGTGGGATATTAGTGGGGGGAGTGGGGTGGTAGGACCAAGGATGGCTTCATTAAAACACCTGTCAGGGGAAAGTACCATCACATGGGTTTCTATTTACTTTGGGTGTGGCATGCAGCCATTTATATGGAGTTATGAAGGAACAACAGGCAGCACTGGGCCCTTGACACATTACGAGCTAATCTATTATTGATAACTCCTGCCACAGCAGCGTGAAACAAACTGTCAAACTTTTTTGGAAGCTGCAGGTGAGTTCCCATCAGGAGGAGCGTTACTATGGTGATGGGGTGGAAGTACCCTCTTGGAGACGCATGGGCTCTCTGTAGGATGCTGCCTCTCTAGATGATGGCTTCAGATCCCCATGTCAAACAGCCTGTATTATTCATGCCTATAAATCATTTAAGTTGCAAGTCCAGGGAGCTGCTTTTAAAAGCAAGGCTCCAGGCAACTAGACAGTAGAAATACAAAGATTGTGCCATAGCCAGAATGAGTTAACGCATTCGAATAATGAATAGGACAATCTGAGTTTGAATTTCAGCAATGGAAGCCTTGCAGCTGAAACATTTCCAGTCCAAATTCTGTACTGTTATACCCTTGTGGTACCTAAGCTTACTGTGCTTAGTTAATGATCTCTGCAGAGGGCCTGCTTTATGTTACACCTCATGGACTTTAAAAAATGTTTGCCCTTGGCAAGACCCGGCCATCATGAACAAGAATAAAGTGGAGAGTGTGCTCATCTTGCCACCTAGTGGACAAGAAAGTCTCATTCGATGTAGAAGAGAAATTGACAAAAAAACCTATTTTTATATAATGCGTCATTCCAAGCAGAAAAAATCGAAAATGCCTCTATTGTGCATCATAAAAAAATCATAAAAATCTGCATAATCCACATAGAATAGTGAGCTGTGGACGCTGGATGAGAGACGGGTAAATGGAAGGGATGCAGTCAGAGATGGGGGTAAATGGAGAAGACAAGGTCAGAGATGGGGGTAAATGGAGGGGATGCAGTCAGAGATGGGGGTAAATGGAGAGGACAAGGTCAGACAGATCATTGTCATCATTATTTTTCTGCTTTTTTTTTTTACGATCTCAGAACAAATCAAAGTATGATTTTTGTCCTCAGGCAGTGCCTCAATTTACAACATTTCCGCCAGTCATTATAAAAACTGCCAAATCATGAGCGTTGCTCTAGTGTAAAATTCTCCAAATTGCCATTCCGGGCTTTTCTTGTCATCTTCCGGTAGTGATATGCCACCAATGCCAGTGCCACGACGCCAGCGATGGAAAGGCCAAAGAGGATGTAAAGTGCCACCTCGGCATCAGGGGGTGACACCACCCTGCCCAGGAAGTTCACAGCTTGGTCCCCAGGCACCGAGGTGGCGGTGGTGGGCACAGGGGCGGTGGTAGTTTCTGCAGGGGAAGATCAGACAATCTGTGATGCGATGGCTCAACACTCAGAACTGATCAGGGACCGGCCCCTTCAGAAAAGAGATCTCTTTCTACGTAAGTTATATGTATAGCAGGAAGGCTGTGAGCTGCCATTCATGGAGGAACACTGAAAATAAAAAGCCCTAAATGAGAAGGCAGAGACAGTCTACTGACCTAGTGTTTGGTCAGTAAATTTTGCTGGCACCATGCTAACATGCTAAGTTACACCGGGGTGCTGTTGTTCAAGATGACCACGCGGTTCCTGTACCTTCAGGCTCAGGAGACAGACACTCATGGGGCCCCTGTGCTGGATCAGGGAAGCCGTTACAGGAGATGATACTGGTGTAGTAGGCAGCAGATGCCTTGGGCACACGGGGCAGTGTGGGGTCTGAACGGTTCACGTAAAAGAGTCCGAACCGCTCTGCAAAACCTGTGGCCCACTCCAAGTTGTCCATCAGAGTCCAGGCTGTGAAGCCCTTGATATCAACGCCATCCAGAAGCTTTGCTGGATCAGAATCACAGTCACTGTTAGTGAGAGTAATTAAACTCCTTTTGTGTTTTCTGTTGTAACTGTCACTTGGAAGAGTTGGAAAACTAGAAACGGTACCCAAAGAAGGATCAGGACCGTAAGTGAACAGGTCTGAGCTACCAGACTAGAAATTGTTTTGGTACTGTAAAGTGACTGAGAAAATTCTGTAGTATCATACAGTACAGGTTATCAGATGCCATACCTTTCAGGGCCTGGTTGATATAATGCTTGTAGTAATTTATCCTGTGGGTATCGTTGAGATCTACTGGTCCTCGCTCAGAGATCCCATTCTCAGTGATATAAATTGGAGGATTTCCATACTCCTCCTTGATGAAGTTGAGAATCTTCCGGAAACCCGGTGGGGTCACCTTCAGCCAGGTAGAGCCTGAGTCAAGCCAGCTTCTATCTGCAATTGTCCCAGCTCCCCTAACATCAGAGGAATTTTTATTATTTATTGACTTCCAAGGACTTCTAAGCTGAAGTCCAAGGAAGGAAATTTGTGTACCTCAAGATGTATCAGGAAGTGCTTCAGTATAATGAAAAATGAGATAAGGAGAATAAAGTAGAAACCTACCTGTCTGCATCATAGTGCTGCAGATTGTGGTAGTCCACTTTGAAGGCCAGAACGGTGGTGTAGTGATTGAATCCAAAGTAATCATAGGTGCCTTTGATTCTCTCAATTTCATAGGGAGTAAATTCTGGAAGCCTAACCCCAAACATAATGACCTGTCCTTTAGCCATGATTTAAATATTTGCCACAGTAAACTCACAGAAATACTGAACGCCTCCATTTTGTGCTACTTTCTCCCTCTGAGTACCACTTTACAATAAGGCTGCTTTTTGAAACTTATAAATGGCAATAACTCCTTAAATAAAATTAAACAGTTATAACTTGTTTATAATTGTCTATGAATAATTTACAAAGTGTAACTTAATTAATAATGTGATTATTAACCATTCATAAACCCTTTATAAGAGTAGTCCTATTGTAAAGATGGTACCCCATTGTTATATAGTTTCAGATCTGACAGTGAAGGTCAATATGTACAGAACATGTTAATGCCACCATGATGTTTCTTTAGCAACCTCAGGTAATGGACTGGGAAATTCCTACCGAGATGTGGGAAGACCAGCAGCCAAACTCCTCTCTCTGATGATGGTCTTCATCACATCATTATAGTCTCCTCTGAACACAGGGTGAGCAAACCAGCCGATATAAAACTATAGCCAGGAAAAAGCAAGGAGACACCTTTCTAAATAAAACATCTGAATAAATAAATTGACTGTAAAACTGATGATGGCCACCATTTCTAATTTTTAACTAGAATGTGCCTAAGACCAATCCTATTTTGAATATATCGATGTCACATGGAGAGTAACAGCTACGAATATGAGTGTCCTGATGCTAAAATGAACAGAACCTAATCTAGGGGTGGGGAACCTAATCCATGGAGAGCCGGTGACTGCGGGTTTTGGGGATTTTATCATTTATCTGTTACTAAATGCCGTTAAACAAGGCTTGATAGGCTGAGCAGGAGATCACCGGCCCTTACCTGTAGAACTCGCCAGGCTGCATCGACGTCCTCCTGCTTGGCTGGGTTGCGGGGCTCAGCCCAGTCCGAGTTGATGGTGATGGAGATAATGCCACCCTGTGTTGCTCGATACTTGTTGTTGTACAGGTGCCAGGCCTCAGCGTGGGCTTTGAGCAGGTGGTGACCAACGATGTAGGGCAGAGTGCCTGGTTTGAAGCTGATCCCTGCCAAACAAGTTGAGTTTTCTTTATTATTACAGAACACTTGACCAATGCCTTGATGGTTCGATGATAAGCTAAGCTGAAGGAGAGCCCCATACCGGGGGCAGCTGTGCCGTAACCATGGCCAATATTTGCCACATTATACGGCTCATTGATGGTGATCCAGAACTTGACTTTGTCTCCCAAGCCGCTGAATATGACATCAGCATACTCCTTGAATCGTTGAACTATGGTAACATTCTCCCAGCCACCCTGGTCTTGCAGAGCCAGAGGTAGATCCCAGTGGTACAGTGTGACCTGGAGGGATGGAAAATTTGTTAATCAAGAAGAGAAACCCCTGCTATATGAGAACTAGATGTGACATATCCTGAGAAGATTCTGTGTGAGCAGGGTACCTAAACTGAATTGATCCAATGATAAAAGCTAAGTTGTTACGTCTGAAGGAGATCTGAGGTGCTTGGTATCATCTGAGGTTCTCCTCACCTGTGGCTGAATGTTGGCAGCTAACAGTGCATCTATTAAGCGGTGGTAATAATTCAAGCCATCTTCATTTATGTGCTTTGTGGTTCCATCAGGAAGAACTCTGGGCCAGGATATGGAGAAGCGGTAATGGGTCACTCGGAGCTTCTGGAGGGCAGCCACATCTTCTTTGATCTTGTTGTAGCTGTCGCAGGCAATATCCCCGTTTTCATCATTTCCCACTCTGAGTGGCGTGTGTGAAAACTTGTCCCAGATGCTCAAGCCCTTGCCATCGGCTCTCCACCCCCCTTCGATCTGTAGTTGGGTTGAGAATTTGCATAGGTTGGATAAGTGGCTTTTTAGGCATAACATAACCTATGATTAGGTCACATGATTACAGAATGTAGTTAAATGCAAAAGTATGGTCACCCCTGCCCAAAAATCAATTATATAAATGAAAAGTAGCAAACAACTGTTTTTCCACTTGTCCAATGATAAAGATTTTTTTTGCTAGGTACTTCACTAAATACTTCACTAGGCCTCAGTAGCCATTAAGATTGTTCATTAAGATCACCTGTTCACAACTGCAGAGCTTAATAAATTCCTTGCCACTTCAAACAATGGGGTTTAACTAGACAACCAAGGGCTCATCTAAGCAACTGAGTGAGGATCTGAAAATGAAGCCTACAAAGCAGGGGAAGGCTATAAAACATTGCAAAATGCTTCCAGCTCACAATTTCTACAATTCGTAATGTGGTGAAGAAATGGCAGTTATGGAGAACTGTGGAAGTCAAGGTATGATCTGGAAGACCAAGAAAACTTTCAGAGAGCACTGCACGTAGGCTGGCCAGAAAGGCAAAGGCAAACTCTCATACAACTGCAAAGGAGCTGCAGGAAAGTTTGGCTGACACACTTATTTGGCTGTCATAGTCCAATGGTCCACAGTAAAGTGCAGGGATGGTTCTGGGGGGGGGCAGTGCCCCTGTGACAACATGCATGTAATTCCCTGTGACCCCTCTAAATATGTATGCTGTCTGAGATAAATGTATTACTACTGTTACTCTTATTATTTACATGTATATATGTGGGCTAAAATTTTGTGTGTTGTGAACAGGCGAAACACAAACATAAGCATATTTTCTGGAAATACTCTTAACGGGAATGCACCGAGTGGCCAAGTTGCTTCAACTGAAGAAAAGTGAAGTTAATGACAGAAAAAAAATTCAAGCTTGTGGAAGCAAGACACTCTAAACAAGAATTCAGAGTGAGTTACATATTTATAGAAACAGTCAAATGTAACTGCAAAGCATTGCATAAGTAACTTACATAATTTCAGAATTGTCTTTTGCTTCTTAATGCTGGCAATCTGGGAAGATATTAAGGTGAAATGCATCCGCTCCCCCCTAAAAGAACAATTGGCCCCAGTCTGCATCCCACCCCCCATTGAAATAGTCTACAATTGCCACTGGTGCAGTGGCAATATCTCAACATCTGAGGTACACCAAACTGCATTTAGGCAAGCCAGAAGCCTTTTGGAAACAAATGCTGTGGGCTTCTGAAGCAGAGATTGAACTATCTGACCACAATCACCAAAGAAGATGAAAATTCATCCATCATCATCTATTTGAAGGAAAGCAAGCTGAAGGTTTAGGAATGGCCTTCACAGTCCCCTAAATTCACCAATGAACAGAACATAAACATGCTGTGAATATCTCTGAAGAATATCTGAAAATTAGAAGTCATCTGGAAAGATGAGTGGGCAAAAATCCCCACAACAAGAGCTGAAAGTCTTTTAGCCTGATTCATAAGGCATTTAAAAGCTGGGATATCTGTCAATGGAGTGTCACTAAATAATGACTGTGTCCAAACTTTTGCACATGCCACAGTTACTATTTTATTTGTTCCTATGTTTTGCTGTTCATGGAATATAAAATAACTATGCACAACTTACAAGTACACACACCTAAAGGATTATTAGGAACACCATACTAATATGGTGTTTGACCCCCTTTCGCCTTCAGAACTGCCTTAATTCTACGTGGCATTGATTCAACAAGGTGCTGAAAGCATTCTTTAGAAATGTTGG